AAAAAGCCAGGATGAGCCCGTGGTTCACCCAAAGGTGCAGGGAGGCAAAAACCAAGTGTGCTAGGGAATGGAAGAAATATAGAAGGCAAAGGACCCAGGAGAATAAGGAGAGCAGTCGTAGAGCCAGAAATGAATATGCACAGATAAGAAGGGAGGCCCAATGACAATATGAAAACGACATAGCAGCGAAAGCCAAATCTGACCTGAAGCTGTTATACAGCCACATCAGGAGGAAAACAACAGTCAAGGACCAGGTAATCAGGCTAAGAAAGGAAGGAGGAGAGACAACAAGAAATGAGTGTGAAGTATGTGAGGAACTCAACAAGAGATTCAAAGAAGTGTTCACAGAGGAGACAGAAGGGGCTCCAGAAAGACGGAGAGGTGGGGTACAGCACCAAGTGCTGGACACGGTACACACAACCGAGGAAGAAGTGAAGAGGCTTCTGAGTGAGCTAGATACCTCAAAGGCAATGGGGCCGGATAACATCTCTCCATGGGTCCTGAGAGAGGGAGCAGAGGTGCTATGTGTACCCCTAACAACAATATTCAGTACATCTATCGAAACAGGGAGATTGCCTGAGGCATGGAAGACAGCAAATGTAGTCCCAATCTTCAAAAAAAGGAGACAGACATGAAGCACTAAACTACAGACCAGTGTCACTGACGTGTATAGTATGCAAAGTCATGGAGAAGATTATCAGGAGGAGAGTGATGGAACACCTAGAAAGGAATGATCTCATCAACAGCAGCCAACATGGTTTCAGGGACGGGAAATCCTGTGTCACAAACCTACTGGAGTTCTGAGACATGGTGACAGCAGTAAGACAAGAGAGAGAGGGGTGGGTGGATTGCATTTTCTTGGACTGCAAGAAGGCATTTGACACAGTTCCACACAAGAGATTAGTGCAAAAACTGGAGGACCAAGCAGGGATAACAGGGAAGGCACTACAATGGATCAGGGAATACTTGTCAGGAAGACAGCAGTGAGTCATGGTACATGGCGAGGTGTGAGAGTGGGCACCTGTGACCAGCGTGGTCCCACAGGGGTCAGTCCTAGGACCAGCACTGTTTCTAATATTTGTGAACGACATGACGGAAGGGAATAGACTGTGAAGTGTCCCTGTTTGCAGATGACGTTAAGTTGATGAGAAGAATTCATTCGATCGAAGACCAGGCAAAACTACAAAGGGATCTTGACAGGCTGCAGACCTGGTCCAGCAATTGGCTCCTGGAGTTCAGCCCCACCAAGTGCAAAGTCATGAAGATTGGGGAAGGGCAAAGAAGACTGCAGACGGAGTACAGTCTAGGGAGCCAGAGACTACAAACCTCACTCAAGGAAAAAGATCTTAGGGTGAGTATAACACCAGGCACATCTCCTGAAGTGCACGTCAACCAAATAACTGCTGCAGCATATGGGCGCCTGGCAAACCTCAGAACAGCATTCCGACATCTTAATAAGGAATCGTTCAGGACCCTGTACACCGTGTATGTTAGGCCCATATTGGAGTATGCAGCACCAGTCTGGAACCCACACCTAGCCAAGCACATAAAGAAACTAGAGAAAGTGCAAAGGTTTGCAACAAGACTAGTCCCAGAGCTAAGAGGAATGTCCTACGAGAAGAGGTTAAGGGAAATCAACCTGACGACACTGGAGGACAGGAGAGAGAGGGGGGACATGATAACGACATACAAAATACTGAGAGGAATTGACAAGGTGGAGAAAGACAGGATGTTCCAGAGATGGGACACAGCAACAAGGGGACACAGTTGGAAGTTGAAGATACAGATGAATCACAGGGATGTTAGGATGTATTTCTACAGCCACAGAGTAGTCAGGAAGTGGAATAGTTTGAGAAGCAATGTAGTGGAGGCAGGATCCATACATAGCTTTAAGCAGAGGTATGATGAAGCTCATGGTTCAGGGAGTGTGACCTAGTAGCGACCAGTGAAGAGGTGGGGCCAAGAGCTAGGACTCGACCCCTGCAACCTCAACTAGGTGAACACACACACACACACACACACACACACACCACACACACACACACACACACACACACACACACACACACACACACACACACACACACTAGAATAGAAAGCAAATGGTCAATTAAATTACTCCAAATGATGTTTTTAATTTTTATATGCATTGACACATCAGAGAAGTAATTAGAATGAGAAAAGGCAACACACCATCAGTACTATGCCTAGTGTTTGCTAGAAAATCAGAAATTCCTGCTTGCAGGTGATCAAGTTGCAGACTTTATCAATAATGGAGGGAGATACTAGTTAGGAAAGTAGAAGACATACTGCTTGAAAATATTATATTACAATGGTTAGGAGAGGAAAGTCAAAAGACCATCAGCCAAATTTAAGAGTAACAAAAGTAGCTTTTCTCCAATACAAAATCCAAGGCAGGAACTGCAAAGTATTGAGACTTAAAGAAAAATGGAACTTTTATTGATGACAGTAAGGAAATAAACTAATTAGGACAGGTATTTTGTGCTGTATTTGGCGAATCATTTTACAGACTAAAGATCAACTATCTCTATGAACCATACCCCCGGCCGGGATTGAACCCGCGGCTAGCTGGTCTAGTGGCTAACGCGACGGGCTGGAGTTTTGAGACTCTATGACCGCGGGTTCAATCCCGGCCGGGGGTATGGTTTATTTGCAATCGTGTCATTACGATTTCTTGAGTCAAGTTATCTCTATGAATTTTTTCATTAATGTGATACCATAAAAATTTGACTTAACCTGAATCCCACATGATGTAGAGGAAGACAGTGATATTATACTGTTGTCAGTAGGTAGGCAAAAGCATCTAGTATCAGACCCATTGCCTAAGAAGATGGAACATAAACTAATGATAACAAAGAAATGAGTGAAATACTGAAGTCATAATATGACTTGTGTTCAGTGAACCACTAATCAGTATGATTGATGACCAAAATGAGTTTTCATGAATGAGATCCAGTACCTCTGCAGTTTATGACCTAACCCTAATCCCACTTTGAAGAAGTCATTGTACCATGCTCGTGCATTCTACCCCAGGCACAGACTTGTGGAACTCCATATCCATCAAGACATGCAAGAAACCACCATCTTGGGCCTTAAATATTTTATGTAGGAGGAGCCTGGACACAGGTGTTATTCCACAATCTGTTAAAAAATGCCAGTATAGACCTATTCTAGAAAGATGGTAATAAAACAATTGCAAACAGCTATAGACTGATAGTGCTAGTATTACACTTCAGAATCTTTGAAGAGGTCTTAAGATGCAGGATTGTGAATCTTATGGAATCACAACAGTTGCAGAATGGGTTGCTCCTGCCTTTCACAGTTGCTGGACCATTATGATAGTCTTGGATGCACTAGAAGACAAGCAAAGTGCTGATGTAGTGCACACTAACTGCAAAAAAGCCTTTGATATTTTAACTATGGTGAAATAGCATACAAAATGGGTGTAAAAGAAATAACTGGACAAATGGGTATATTGATATTGAACTTCTTATAAATAGAATCCATAGAGTACATAACAGTAAACTGAGTGAAATCGGAGATGCTGGAGTGAAAAGCTATGCTCCTCGAAGTACATTACTCACCCAACTTCTCTTTCACATTCTTATATTCAAGATAGTGACATAAATCATAGCACCATATCAACCTTTGAAGATGATACTAGAATTTGCATGAGAGTAGTGTTCATTGAGGACATAAAAAAATTGAGTAATTAAAGGCTGAAATGGAGCACAAGACAATCTCAGATCTTTCAATAGAGTGGAAGTTCACATTAAGGATTATAATGTTATCACATCTCCAAGGAAAATAAGCTCAGTACCTAGAAGATCAAAACAAGGGATGCTGAGCCAATGTGATTCTCTTAAGTCACTTGTTCTCTCTGTGCTGGAATATTTTATTCTAATTGCCCCCTTCAAGGCAGGAGAAATTACAGAACTGAAGACATTCAGAGAACCTTCACTGTTCACATAAATTCAGTTGAGCATCTTAACTACTGGGAATGCTTGAAGTCCCTTGATCTGTGTTCTTTAGAATGTATGTGAGAAAGATGCATTATAATTTACACTTCGAAAATTCTAGAGAAATTGGTCCCATACCTGTACAATGAAATCACTTCATATGAAAGCTTGGGAGGCTATGCAAATTATTTCTGGTGAAAAGCAGTATTGTGATGAGTACACCATAGTTTATACTGAAGTCAGGAATCATTGAGCACAGTTCTGCCTCTGAAACCTCACATAGGTAATCAAAAATAAATTATTACGTTTATTTCCACATTACCACTTGAGTGGCTAAGATTAAACAAGAGTGTGTATTATTCACTCAGTAATGAGTGTCTGATCCTGCTCACTGCTGAGATGCTACACTTATGTAGTTACTCTACCTTGAAGAGGCCATGATTTTTTTTTTTTTTTTTTTTTGCTGTTATTTTTTACATCAGCTGTCTCTCACCATGGTAGGAGACCTCCCCCTCAAAAAAAAAAAAAAAAAAAGGGAAATTCGCCATTTCTGCACTTGCTGTCATGTCGGAAGTGCACAGATATCAGAGTTGAATGACCCTCTGAACCATAAAATCCATAACCCCACAATGCAGGCACTGTACTTTCCACCTCCAGGACTCAAATCTGGCTTATGAGTTTCCCTGAATCCCTTCATAAATGTTACCTTATTTACTTGCTATGTATGTCAAATCAATAACACCACTTTTCTCACTGATCTAAAACAAAACACACACACACACACACACACACACACACACACATGCACACGCATACACACACACATATACAACAGGCCTAGTGTCTAATCGACATGTGCCTAGGACAGAATGATCACTAACACTCACACACTCACACACACACACACACACACACACACACACACACACACACACACACACACACACACACACACACACACACACACACACACACACTTATTTCACTCACGCTCACTCATATACATTCATACATTTATAGACCAACGGCTGGACCTTACAAGAGTTGGGCATGATGAGTGTGAGCCAGTGCGAGGGCAGATAGTGGTGTCACTCATGTCAAGGGACGGCCGAGGAACTGGCTCCCACAATGCGGTGGTCGACACACTGGGAAATATTTCCTCCCCGACGACCTACCCGAGGTTAGTCTTTCCAGTATCTGCACTTGTTAAAATACCAGATTTATTTACTCTGCATAATATTAATCATTTGGTATTTGTATTATATTGACCCAATATATATAAAATTAAACAGGATTCCTTATTTTGAAAGGCTAGGTAGTGTGTAAAATTAACATGTTAAAAGTAAGCAATGTACGTACTATACTTGGTAAAATTAATAATAATAATATATTTATTTCTACACGTATATGTACAAGGTATACAGTCCTAGCTGACATCAATGACATACTACTATATAGAAAGCCATTTGTTATGCTGAGCATTTCTGGCAAATTAGATGAGTTTTGTCTCAGGATGCGACCCACACCAATCAACTAACACCCAGGTACCCATTTTATACTGATGGGTGAACATGGACAACAGGTGTCTTATTCTCTATAAGTTTATTCTCTATAAGGATTACAATGTGGGGTTTACAGATTTTGGTTATTGTGTGGTTTATATGTAATAAAATACTAATTACAGAAGGGGCCACTAGAACACCTAGCATGGCTAGGCATTTCGGGCAAACTTAGATTAATTCTTAACCCTAAATTATTACAAATTGTGGAGTAAGTTGACTAAATACTAAGCGACTAAATACTAGTTTGTGTGTTTAGCAATGTGAATGCTTTTGTTTTGGCACAATACATAGTTTCTATATTGGAGTATCACAGGCAAACTTGTGACTAGTTAGGAATCATTATTTTAAGATTAAGATTAAGATTAAGAAACACGTCCTAATGTTATCCAGCCGTACCGGGGATTTGAACTTGTGACCTCAGTGTGTGTGTGTGTGTGAGCTGAGTGCACTAGCAATCGAACTACGGGACACCTTGATATATGTGTAAATAAGGGCTCCGAATCATGAGGTTTATAAATTAACCCTTTCAGGGTCCAAGGCCCAAATCTGGAGTCACGCACCAGTGTCCAAGAATTTTCAAAAAAAAAATTTGTTATTTTTTCTTATGAAATAGTAGAGAATCTTTTTGTGAAGGTAATAAAACAAAAAGTACGAAATTTGGTGGAAAATTGACGAAATTATGCTCTCGCGAATTTTGATGTGTCAGCAATATTTACGAATCGGCGATTTTGCCGACTTTGTCTCCCATTTTAGGCCAATTACATTATTCCAATCAACCAAATTCTTAGCTATTTCACTAGTATTACTTCTATTCTACCGATTGAACACAAGAAATCGCCAAGTCAACTGTTTCAACTACAAAATAAAGTGATCGGAAATTGTTAATTTGGCCAATTTAACACAAAGTTCAAAATATTCCAATTTCAAAATAGGGTCCAGAATGAACAATGTAGGCATTCCTGGCACTAAACTAACATTTCCTCTGTTCATTAGTTATGTTTTGAGGCTTTACAAATAAATTCCATTTTGATTTTTTATTCACATAATGAATTTTTATTCACACCAAAAAATAGAAGATTTACTGTTATGCAATACTGTAATAATTGTATAAATATCATCACCATATTTGTGAATGTATATTAGACCCACCAGCTGACGTGTATTAGACGTGTGAGGTCGTTTGTTTACTCTTGAATATCGGCAAAAATTTAACATTTCCGCTACTTTGAGCTCAGTTTCAAGCCATTTCCAGTGCTAAAACCAATCAAAATCATCTCTATTTCTGTAATATGTCTTCCATTCTATCAAGTGAAACCAAGAAATCGCAAATACAACTATAAAAAACATACGAAAAAACACTGCAAAGTTGCTGTTTTAATCAAAAAATCATGATTTCATTTTTTTTCTCTCATTATACACAGTGTGCTGCAGGATCTGTTTTATGTGGTGCACACATACCACATAGATGTATTCTCTCATATCTAGGCCCAAATGTACCACTCACAGTTTATCAGAGTGAGCTGAGCTCATGGCGTAGATCTACGGTTTGGACCCTGAACGTAAAGCCGTAGATCTACGGGACGGACCCTGAAAGGGTTAACTGTGAAAATATAAGTGAGTTATTATCAGTGTGTTCATTTTCAGGGATGGGAAGAGAGGAGAACAGCCACTGGTCGCTTATATTATGTTAACCATCATGACCGCACCACCACCTGGGAGCGACCAACTCAACCCGCCCATATAATGTATGTAAAACTCCAACATTTAATGTTTCTTTCCTATTTCATATATAAAAGAATGTACTATATGCACATATACATACAAGCAGTTCCTGCACTCTGAAGGAGGGGTGGGGACATTTGCAGTTTGGAGGGTCATCTGAACTGTAGTGTCTGCGCACCTCTTGCAAGACAGTCAAGTGAATGATAGTGAAAGCGTTTCTTCTTTCTCGGGTCACCCTACTTTAGTGGGAGACGGCTGATGTGTTTAAAAAAAAAAGTGTGTGTGTGTGTGTGTGTGTGTGTGTGTGTGTGTGTGTGTGTGTGTGTGTGTGTGTGTGTGTGTGTGTGTGTGTGTGTGTGTGTGTGTGCGTGCATGCATGCATGCATGCATGTGTGTGTGTGCATGTGTGTGTGCGTGTGTGCGTGCATGCGGGCGTGCATGTATGCATGCATGCGTATGCGCACATATCAAATAAATTAGCAAAAAAACAGGTTCCATTGAGATTAAATATCAATCATAATGTTATGAGATTTTTTTTTTTTTTTGCCAATGTCATATCAATTTTTATAAAAATAGAACTTTGTGGATTTTTTTTTAGACTGATAAATATTTATGTGAATTAATATTGGATGTAATTTTTTTTATTTTAACCATGAAAGCATTATATACAATGGTCCCTTGAGTTATGATGGGCTGGAGTTACAATTTGCCCTTATAAAGAAATTTAGTTTTAAGTTGCGATAAAAAAAATTGATAGGATACGTGTAGGATGGTCAGCAGGTGTGGGCGTGTGTTGGGTGTTTGTAGTGAGGTATTTTGTACCATGGACAGGTGCCCCTTAGACCAGAGGCAAGACAGGCTGATGAAAAGGTCTTAAATGGAGTGATGGTGGAGGGTGTGTTAGAGGTAAGTAGGAGAGATGGTGGAGGGAGGAGGACCATAGGTGTACCAAACGTGGACAGTGAGAATCAGTAACAAGTGTTAATATTAAGTCTACAATTCTTGACCAGTCTGTCTCTGCCTGTCTCTACTTGCCTGCCTGTCCCTACCTGCTTGCCTCTCTCTACCTGCTTGCCTGTCTCTGCCTGTCAGTCCCTATCTGCTTGCCTACCAACCTGCCTGCCTGTCTCTGCCTGTCCCTACTTGTCTGCCTGTCCCTGCCTGCCTGTCCCTACTTGTCTGCCCATCCCAACCTGCTTGCCTACCTGCCTGCCCATTCCTGCCTGCCTGCCCGTTCCTGCCTGCCTGCTCATCCCTACCTACCTACACGTCCCTACCTGTCTGTCCGTCCCAACCTGCTTGCCTACCTGCCTGCTTGTTTGTTTCTGCCTGCTTGCCAACCTGCCTGTCCCTGCCTGCTTGCCTGCCCATCCCTGCTTGCCTTCCTGCCTGTCCTTGCCTGCCTGACTACTTCTTTGTGTATTTGTCTGCCATTCTGTGTCTGTCTGCCTATTTGTCCTGTCATGCCACGTCTGCTGTGGTCTGCCTGGTTGTGTAAATAGAAAAATGGTGGATGGGGTAGGTAGGAGTGGAAGGTAGGAGTTGGTGGGTTGGGGTGAGGGAGGGAGACCATATGCACGTACCAGATGTGGATTAGGTGATGAAAACAAAGAGTGTAATTATTAAGTCTAATTCTTTACCAATCTGCCTGCCTATCTGTCTGTCTGCGTGTCTGTGTGGCAGTGCCTCAGGATATTTCAAGCTGCAGCCTCTGCTTGTGTATCACTCAGAAAACCCCAATGTGTTTAAACAACAAAAAAGTACAGGGGAAGGTTGGGTGCGTTCAAACTTCTCATAACAAATTACCATAAAAACATGTATTTTGGGGTATGACATGCGATACTTTGGAGATATGATACGTTTTCTGGAATGGACTAACGTAATAACTCAAGGGACCACTGTACTGATATTACTGAGATCACACATCACAATCATCGTACCTCATCTCCTTGGCCCAAAATTGACTTGCCCACCTGTAATAAAACCTAACCTACCTAGTATATCTGAGGCCATCTTAGGTTTAGTAACTTATTTAATATTACTGAAATGTATAAATTTGATGATGTTTTTACTAATTTTTGGAGAGTTTAAGAAAAGACATTAATGCTTTCTTTAAGAAATGTCATTATTTTATAAATTGGTGTAAAAAATTATTATTGGAAGTTTTCTATGAAAATGGACAAATTATAATAGATTTCAATTTCAAGGAAATATACTTAGGTAAAATGGCATGAGGCTAGAATAGAAAGCAAATGGTCAATTAAATTACTCCAAATGATGTTTTTAATTTTTATATGCATTGACACATCAGAGAAGTAATTAGAATGAGAAAAGGCAACACACCATCAGTACTATGCCTAGTGTTTGCTAGAAAATCAGAAATTCCTGCTTGCAGGTGATCAAGTTGCAGACTTTATCAATAATGGAGGGAGATACTAGTTAGGAAAGTAGAAGACATACTGCTTGAAAATATTATATTACAATGGTTAGGAGAGGAAAGTCAAAAGACCATCAGCCAAATTTAGAGTAACAAAAGTAGCTTTTCTCCAATACAAAATCCAAGGCAGGAACTGCAAAGTATTGAGACTTAAAGAAAAATGGAACTTTTATTGATGACAGTAAGGAAATAAACTAATTAGGACAGGTATTTTGTGCTGTATTTGGCAAATCATTTTACAGACTAAAGATCAACTATCTCTATGAACCATACCCCCGGCCGGGATTGAACCCGCGGCTAGCTGGTCTAGTGGCTAACGCGACGGGCTGGAGTTTTGAGACTCTATGACCGCGGGTTCAATCCCGGCCGGGGGTATGGTTTATTTGCAATCGTGTCATTACGATTTCTTGAGTCAAGTTATCTCTATGAATTTTTTCATTAATGTGATACCATAAAAAATTTGACTTAACCTGAATCCCACATGATGTAGAGGAAGACAGTGATATTATACTGTTGTCAGTAGGTAGGCAAAAGCATCTAGTATCAGACCCATTGCCTAAGAAGATGGAACATAAACTAATGATAACAAAGAAATGAGTGAAATACTGAAGTCATAATATGACTTGTGTTCAGTGAACCACTAATCAGTATGATTGATGACCAAAATGAGTTTTCATGAATGAGATCAGTACCTCTGCAGTTTATGACCTAACCCTAATCCCACTTTGAAGAAGTCATTGTACCATGCTCGTGCATTCTACCCCAGGCACAGACTTGTGGAACTCCATATCCATCAAGACATGCAAGAAACCACCATCTTGGGCCTTAAATATTTTATGTAGGAGGAGCCTGGACACAGGTGTTATTCCACAATCTGTTAAAAAATGCCAGTATAGACCTATTCTAGAAAGATGGTAATAAAACAATTGCAAACAGCTATAGACTGATAGTGCTAGTATTACACTTCAGAATCTTTGAAGAGGTCTTAAGATGCAGGATTGTGAATCTTATGGAATCACAACAGTTGCAGAATGGGTTGCTCCTGCCTTTCACAGTTGCTGGACCATTATGATAGTCTTGGATGCACTAGAAGACAAGCAAAGTGCTGATGTAGTGCACACTAACTGCAAAAAAGCCTTTGATATTTTAACTATGGTGAAATAGCATACAAAATGGGTGTAAAAGAAATAACTGGACAAATGGGTATATTGATATTGAACTTCTTATAAATAGAATCCATAGAGTACATAACAGTAAACTGAGTGAAATCGGAGATGCTGGAGTGAAAAGCTATGCTCCTCGAAGTACATTACTCACCCAACTTCTCTTTCACATTCTTATATTCAAGATAGTGACATAAATCATAGCACCATATCAACCTTTGAAGATGATACTAGAATTTGCATGAGAGTAGTGTTCATTGAGGACATAAAAAAATTGAGTAATTAAAGGCTGAAATGGAGCACAAGACAATCTCAGATCTTTCAATAGAGTGGAAGTTCACATTAAGGATTATAATGTTATCACATCTCCAAGGAAAATAAGCTCAGTACCTAGAAGATCAAAACAAGGGATGCTGAGCCAGTGTGATTCTCTTAAGTCACTTGTTCTCTCTGTGCTGGAATATTTTATTCTAATTACCCCCTTCAAGGCAGGAGAAATTACAGAACTGAAAACATTCAGAGAACCTTCACTGTTCACATAAATTCAGTTGAGCATCTTAACTACTGGGAATGCTTGAAGTCCCTTGATCTGTGTTCCTTAGAATGTATGTGAGAAAGATGCATTATAATTTACACTTCGAAAATTCTAGAGAAATTGGTCCCATACCTGTACAATGAAATCACTTCATATGAAAGCTTGGGAGGCTATGCAAAATATTTCTGGTGAAAAGCAGTATTGTGATGAGTACACCAAGGAAGAACTCAATAAGTGTAAGGGGACTAACACTCTTCAGCATGCTCACTTTGCCCTTAAAGAAAATTGCCAATAAATCTCTGGCTGATAATAATATAATTACAATTGCAGCTGCAGGAAAAAGTACAGACTGGTTAATAAGAACCCTTCAAACAGCAGATGCCATACCAATGATGATGATCTTTAAAGCACTTGAACTCTCGACTGGAATACTGCTGTGCAATGAAAGCTCCATTTAAGGCCGGCGAAACATAGCACATCTGGCTACTACAGAAAAATTTCACTGCTCTTATAAATTCCGTCAAACACTTAAATTGTTTGGAATGTCTAAAATCCCTCACTGTGTTCCTTGTAGAGCAGATAAGAAAGAGGCAGTAAATTATACAGTGACATAGTTTATATGGAAGTCGGGAAACATTGAGCACAGTTCTGCCTCTGAAACCTCACATAGGTAATCAAAAATAAATTATTACGTTTATTTCCACATTACCACTTGAGTGGCTAAGATTAAACAAGAGTGTGTATTATTCACTCAGTAATGAGTGTCTGATCCTGCTCACTGCTGAGATGCTACACTTATGTAGTTACTCTACCTTGAAGAGGCCATGATTTTTTTTTTTTTTTTTTTTTTTTTGTTATTTTTCACATCAGCTGTCTCTCACCATGGTA